TTTACTAACCAATTCGTGTCGATCACGCGATCATCGACCAACGACATTAGTTCAAATATATAATAGTTAAAATTACGTTCGGTCTAATCTCACACACACTATATATATATATATATATATATATATGAATAGAGCCTATATACAGGCAGATATATTCTTGTATTTTTTTTTTCGTATAAAATTTTATTTATAAGAGTTTACTTCATAGACTGGAATGTCACTGTGAATGAGGCAAAATGAGAAAGGCATGTCACTGAGGCAAAATGATTTCTACACATCTTGTTATTAATAGTGATATCATTACCTTTAAGCTATGCTAGTATTTTAATTTGTACATTAAATTATGTTTGTGGCATATTATTTTATGTAAATAAATTTAATAATAATATAGTTATAAACAAGTTTTCACGTGTTAAATTCAATTGACATACATTTATTATTCAACAGCTCGAAGTTTACTAAAAGAAAACAACATAAACAGAGCGTCAAGAGTAGCAAAGGAAAAAAGAATTATCGCGATTTATCGGGGGGATTTTCTTGGCATTAATTTAAAAGATTTTAAATAATATTATTCAACTCACAGTAGTGTTTCAATTATCCGACCTTTCGTAATCCGACATTCCGTTATATCCGACATAATCAAACGGCGTACTAATCCCTGGCTGCTTTGCCTATCAGTGTGTCACGTGACCACTGGCACAAGCTAACGCTGATCAACAATAATATAATAACTACTAATCTCGGGTTAATAGTATTTCTGGCAAAGTAATTGTTGTATTATACGTTATACAGGTCTACAATCATTGCATGTAATCAGACAATGTATAATCAGCGACTCGAATAACTAGAATTGCAACAACAATTCAACGCGGAAATTATTACTCAACTATCCTTCTTTCATCGCACGTCGTATATATATCAGCATTATTATATTATATTTATCTTATTTTATACCATGTTCATATGGGTATCTAGAGCACGATAAACTATCATGAATCGCTTCTAGGTCTTATACGTAGTTAATTGCAATAGATTGCATAGCGTAGTGACGCATTTTGTTAGGCAAAAGAGAGTTACTGAGTTAGCACCGTCAGCAGGCCTAAATAAGCATTACACAGAAATTAATTCAAAATACTCAGAGATTTTCGGCGCATACGCAACATACACTTTATTCATGCTAAATAACCACAGATTCGAAGACCAGACTCGGCTCGAAACTTTTGCCAGCTAAATAATGCGCATTTCCAGCAAGTAGCCGGATTAGATTCCGTTAAAAACACAAAACAGCGGACGGGTTACCCTGGCTACATCACGAAAGGGCACAATTAATGACGTTCGAGACAAAACCAATCTCACTTTTCATGCTTTCTAGACGTCAATGGGGCATCTACCCTGCGCACATAATGCAAATTAGCGCACTCCAATGCCGAATATCACCACAGACAAAAATCTGAAAAACGCTTTTTTGGAGACAAAATAGTGCAACAGTTGGCGGAAGGTTACTGAGTGCTGCATGCATGCCTTCATCAAGTTAACAGAGGTGTGCGCGCACGCTGATCACGCACGTGCGCTCGATCGCGCCCTTCAAGAGATTTCCAAAGCAACGATTCCAATCGCAACGAGATTGCATCAGTTAATTTCACAAAACGTAAACGTGACTCGAGGGTGTCGCTCTGCTCTGCTCTGCTTTCTTTTGCTATGTTTCGAATCCTTACGCCGCATCTCTTTGCGTCGAATCTAATTGATTCGCCGCCCACGGGCACCGATAGTTACCCTTTCATCCCGTCAAACTAACGCGTTAGATGAAATGGGCTGTTGTCATCGCGTAAAGTAAATGCGTCCCTCCTCCCACCGCCTCCATTACTGTGAACTATTCACGGAAATACTGCGCAATAGCAGATAAAACGCGCGCGTGAACGTAGGTAGGGTAAATAACAGCCGTCAATTGAATTTCGACGCAATCACAACGGCGAACATCGCACGTCGACCACACACCAACAACTCCCGCGATGCTCCGAAAATAAAGTGTTAAGGATACTGTAAGGGTTGGGAGGTGAATTTCGGTCGAAATTTCAATACCCACTTTATTTGATAGATCGCAGCCATGGCTATGTATACATAGAAATTATGTATGTAGCCTACCAAACAGTTCCAAATCCCCGCAATAGTCAATTCTTAACACAGGCGTTTATTGATGGAAAATTTAGAAAAGTGCTGATATCTCGGTTGTTAAAAATGCTAAAGTAGGCGATTTTTCAAGCGCTATTTCTCGAAACTCGCATCTCCGATTCCAAATTTTTTTGTTACGTTTCAATGCTAACATATCAAAGGAAAACCCCTTTCAGTATCCTTAAACGCGAGCGTTGTTCCGCCATCAAAGCTCGCGCGCATGTACGGGCCAACGCGCGATCGTTTATGCGAGTAAAGAGTTCGAGGTCGATATTTTTTTTCCGGTGGCGTCAATTGCGCAGTAATCTGCATTAGGTAGTTAGATCGCTGCGGCGTGCCGAGATGAAGACGACTATAAGAAGCGATGTAACTCCGAGCGTGGAGCCGTGCGTCGGTGAATGTTTGATCGTTCTCACAGCCGACACGCACGTCGTCGCATCGTCGGCGAGGCAGGTGTATGCGCATGCGCGATGTCTAATTTCAACATTGTGCGATCACGCGATCATCGACCAAGCATTAGTCAAATATTCATTTTAGCGCCGGTACATGTTGGCCTGCCTGTATTCACATATATAGTACGCCCGGCTTTATCGCCTAAATACGCATCGAGTAAACGACCTGTGTTTTCTTTTTGAAAAACAGTCTGTACGCACGTTATTGCAATCAGATAAAGAGAGCTTAATTAATCAGACCGAGCCTCGGTTACAGCGGACATTTCCTGCGAAACAAACTTCTTTGTTTCCTAAGTACACGTTGTAAGGATAATAATAAACGTAAAGGCAAACTGACAGTTCTCGGATTTTCAGTGGATTTTAAACGTAACGAATTCACAAAACTGTTTTAGAGCTAAACATATCTGTATTATACGCCGTGTGTATTGTAAAGTGCATGTTGTGTACAGGCGATTGTGTACAGGTAAATGTTTTCGTGTGTAACTTTGATTCATTAAAGTCGTCTATAATATTGGTCGATTTGCGACTAGAAAAATTAACAAATGTGTATTTAAGAATAATAATGTTTAATATGGATTGAGGTCATAATTTGTCATTACAGACATCCTTGATGATTCACACAAAGGTCACGCGTCAGAAGTAGTACTACCCTACTACATGAATCAAGAAATAGGTTTTGGAATGGTATTTCTACACAACTTTACACTGTATTCAATTTTCAATGTAATAGATATTACATTCATATTTTCATTATTTGTTTGTCTAAATACGATTTCAATCCGGCTCTAACTTAATCTGCTATAGGTATATTTTCTATCTACGACAACACGAGAAACGTGTCAATGTTAATTCAACTGCATTTTTGCGTTTTATGCATTATTACAGTAACACGTGAGAGGTTGCCTACACCATCATTAACCGCCATACAATACACGACGTTAGAATAAATAATAAGAATTGTGCCCGTTATCTCTTGTTTCCGTTTTATTTAACCAATTTGAAATTGGCTATTCTGCTGTAGGGCTGTGCGGTTAGGCTTTTGCGAGAATGGGTCGCTTTGCTGCGGCACTGTCTCTCTGTTCCATAGCTGATACTGAACGGCGAGTGATGAAAACACGGGTTGTCTCATGATTTCCTTAAAAGTAAACAAGAACAATCAAGGCGATTAACACTAGCAATAGCTTCTGCTACAAAAATACAGCTAGAGGAGAATAACTAACGTGGTCAGAAGCGGGAACGGTTATTTTTGGGGGCGCGGGATCGGAGCATTTTAGTTATCTTAGAACCGGGAAATGCCCGATAAATTTGGGAATATGGATTGAGGGGAAAAATATTATCTGGAAAATACCTTTTTATATAACTGGGAACTGGAAAACAGCATGTTTTTTTTATCGTGGGACACTGGGAATGGACACCCCGTTCCCCTTCTAGTCACAGCATCCGCAACCGCAAACTATGGATTGCTAGCTTCACCTCACTCATCCCACGGGCTAGCGTTTTTATATAAACATTCAGACATAAAATTAATGACGACTATTGAACTGGTGACACAGAACGTAGCCTACAAGATGGCAGGGAGCGCACATATGCAGTTGTCACCTATATTTTAGAAAATAAACATGATGCGCCGAAAAACGAAAGGGATTCTATAACAAATTACAAATGAATAATAGAGTAACTTTATTGTGTAATTCATCCCGTAATCTCATTCTGCAAGTGATATATTTTTTGAAACGTTAACGGATTGTTTCCTTATTACCCCCTCAGGCCTGCAGTTAGACCTTTACAGTCTTGTTTCTCACACCTAGGAGATTTTTTTCAGGCTTCTACCTTGGCTGCCACCAGCTGAGAGCTACGCGTTACAGGATTTTCCCAAAGCTAGTAGCTCGTGCCTCGATACAAACTAAAGTAGTTTATTGCGCTCACAGCGGTAGCAGCGCCATCTATTGCATTCGCAACAAGAAAAACCCGAATGATGCAAAATGGAGATATTACCGTTTTTCTCATTCGATAATTCTGAAATTTCGCAATTAATATACCTAACAGTGACCTGTAATTTTCGCTTACACGCACATGCGAATTAAATAATACAAGTTAAATGAGGATGCTGTTAAATAATTTTATGGAAAGTAGGGATAAAATATGAATATGTCATGTGAATGTGAATATATATGTGCCATCTACTCGGCTGACGAAAGATATATACAAATATTTTTGAACTGTTGGGATTATACATCACTTCCATTCTGACACGCCAAAGTAAAAAAGATCAAATTATTGATCTTTCCACGTCTTGTATCTGAATATTTCCCTACGGCAACAATAAAACTACTAAGTTTTGTTTTAATTTTAAGAACACTTGTAGCAAATTGACTATACTATTGGCTCGAGTTTTCGGCTATGATGAAAATACATGCAAACGCCACCACATGGCGTACGCAAAAAACCAACATCTAAAATAAAACCAGGTACGAAAAGAGGATGTCGCATTAGAGGGGTAAGGATTATAGTGTGCTTTCCATAGAAACAAGGCGGGTATCTAACTATCTACGCCAACCGGTTACTGATGATCGCAGTAGAAGTTAATAAAACAAAATAATTTGTTTTCATCTACTCCTGATCGCAGCCTGCAATTCGAGGATAGTCAAAATAGAGAATTACGACAACATGTCGAATAGCCGAAAGGCAATGTATATATTTTAATATTAGCTTATGCTACGCGACATTTTATAATACCCTTGACACACCAAATTCGGTATTGACCAATGCGCATCAATGCGCATTGATGCGCATTGTAACCGAATGACATAATTCGATTTCATATGTGATATACCGTTGACACTCCGAAACAACCGAACGTAAATCCGAACGCAAATCCGAACGCATCCGAACGCAAATCCAACAACGCATTCAACAGGATCTTCACGAGAACACCACGTGATTTCATCATCGAATCACAGGATCTTCACGAGAACACCACGTGATTTCATCATCCAATCACAGGATCTTCACGAGAACACCACGTGATTTCATCATCCAATCCCAAACCGAACAGAACCGTGTTGTAAAATTATCGTTGACACACCGCCAAACAGAACCGAACCGAACCGAATCGAACCGTAAGCGAACTGCTCAATCCACATACGTATGTGAATTAAAAATAATGCGCATTGATGCGCATTACAACCGTATCTGGTGTGTACATAACCGCGATGAAGCGCATCAATGCGCATCAAAGCGCATTGAAAGTTCAGTGTGTCAACGGTATTAGTTGCAGGGTTTCGTGGTGTCGCGCGCCGTCTTTACCTGAAACATCGGTAGAGGTTTTCCACGCCTGTATGCACGCAGGAAAAGCTTTCGTCTGAGACGTTATCATCCTGGTTCGTTACACCTAAAAAAATTAAAACCGGGGCTTTAGCGATTGCCGCAAACATTTGTTGCCAAGGTATATATGGCGTACACGTTACGTTTTGTTAGCGACGACGTTGTTGCTAGATACACTCTTCATATAGCCACACATACGGGCAATCACACACACACACACACACACACATACGCACACACACACAAACACACACACACACACACACGCGCGCGCGGGAACACAGGCATACATACACACACACATACTCACGCACGCACGCACGCACGCACGCACGCACGCACGCACGCACGCACGCACACACACATACAAACACACACACACACACACACACACACACAAACACCAAAACACACACACGCGCGCGGGAACACAGGCATACATACACCCGCACGCACGCACGCACGCACGCACGCACGCACACGCACGCACGCACGCACGCACGCACGCACGCACGCACGCACGCACGCACACAAACTTCCTATACGGA